TAAATTATCAGTTAACTCAATTTCAGACCATTTAAAATTCTAATACGTAACATAACTAATAAAGATTCATGTTCCCTTGTGCCACACATCGCAGTTTTATTTATCTACATCCTACATATTATTAAATGAAATTCTTTATACCTTTCAAAATTTACGATTTTGTACATTTCTTGCACATTTCATTCAATAGTTTAATTTAAATGAGGTTATTGTATCACACGGCATTTTCATTAGGCTGAACAAGTCACGCTTTTTTTCCCTTGTAAGTTTATCCATTTTTACCTCATCCATTTGATCGAACAAGCTGAACACAGTTTGTGAGAAATAACTAAGCAGAAATATGTTTTATTGTTTTCAGCTGTTAGCTGAACAAGTGCAAGAGTTTATACGAATATACATATGGTCAACATCTACCGAAGTAGGATCATTCGACAGAGAGAAACCTAACCCAAAGACGTTGACAGGTGTGTGTGTGTGTGTGTGTGTTTTGAAAGCAGAATTTTAACGTTATTTTACATTTGAACGTTATATTGACGTTGGGAGGAATGTAATGTAGCTAGTAAAATAACAATTCGCAATGCGTCCGAGACAGCCTTAAAAATTTATTATAGGGTTTCTTCCCGTAGATATTTAAGTTAATGTTTTGACATTTGTAACATTAGATGGTTGTAATGTATATAGTTAATGCTTTAAAATAACAGTCTTGGCTAATTGCTCTTATTGGCTGAGGTGTAGAATTAAAATACCTGCCCATAAACTCCAATTCCGATTTGTTAAAACGATTCATAAACGTAAGTCCCACCATAAACAGTTGTTGATGACGTAATTTGATTATATAAACAGTATCTCAACCACTACTATATCTGTTGTATCCCAGCCAGCCTAACAAGCATCGAAATTGACCGAAAGTCCTCGTCGGCAGTTCGCATGGCAGACAATGTGGTTAACTTTAGTTACACATTATTTTTTATTTGCAATTTTAGAATTGGAATGCATCGTGTCTTAGTTTAATATATTTATTGGAGTTAATGTAATTCGTCTCACTTTTATTTCAACTCTTTCATTCACGACAATTGCTAACAACTTTGATGACGCTTTCTTGTACAGATTAAATACTTGTTTTTTCGATTCGCAACCACCAATTACGATTGAAATAAACGCTAGTGTTTTTGGTTGAATTTTGTAACATTCTATGCAACATAAGGAGAATTTGTGTATATACAGTGTTGCATTTTCGATTGTTGCATAAATCTACAACAGTAAATTGTAGTACTTTGCTGCACTTGCAAAACAATTAACGGATGTATTTAAGAAATAACCGATTTATTTATGCGCAAATGCTTGAGTTTCGTTAAGAGCTGTATGGAATGATTTGGATACCAGAGATGAGATTTAGGAGCCAAATCTTAACAAGAAAATAGGGATTAGTATTGCATTTTATCGACTCTAGAACGATATACAAAACTTGTATAATTTTTGAAAGGCATTTTTTACAGATACGACGAGTTTGCTTAAGTGAAGGATATTATAATAAAATCATAATTTACGTTATTGAATATTTCTATCCGATAGCTAAAATATATAGAAAAATGTCCAGTGTCACATGCACTCCAAGATAAACTACGTTGGGTAAACAGATTTCGTTTTTCTAGGATCTCTAGTATTCTTTTGATCTAATGGTTAGCGCGCTGGATTGCGAATCTAAAGGTTCACGATTCTCATCAACTTCCTGCAAAATAGAGTGCTTGAAAACAATAGCGCAGAGAATTATGAGCGTCCGAATGATATACAGTACAGAAGGGAGGGGTGGAAAGATGACAATCGTATCAAAGCTAATTATTTGATCCACGGGGATGCCCATGCAAAGAGTTTTCTACCAACGGAGGCTTATAACGAAACAAATTTTATCATTAATGTAAGGATACCCGATATACCTGGAAGTTATATTTTCTAAATGTAGCGAGTTTTCTTCTTTTTTGCAATCAGTACATAAAAGTAATATTCAAATAACTGCTACGACAGCGGAAGTCACGTGACGCTGTTGGCGTTTCTCGAATGATCGAGATGCCCTCTTTGTTAATATATAAGCCTGGCTGTGAAAGACAGCGGGTATGAATGAAGAGAGAGCCGTAGTTACTTTGAGTTCCGTGTAATTTATTATTGTTAATTTCGAGCTAGTGAGTCGTAAAGTGTGTGTTTTGCACGCGTCGAGAGCAAAATTATCGAGATTGTGAATCGCTGCGATTTATAGCGTGTATTATAAAAGTTGTTAAGTTTAAAGTGACGAGAAACGTACTGATTGTGGAACTACTGTGTACTAAAAGTTTGTATCAAGGAAAAATAAACTGGTTTAATCAAGAAAGTACTTGTATCGCTGAAGATCCTCCGAAAGAATTTCTACCGAAAACAAACAAACAAGCAGACACGTAACAGAACCTATCGATCAATGATTAGTTAACAGAACCTATAAACTAACGAGGATGGTATAAATTTTATCATCTCTTTCAGGTTGAAAGACGAGAAGTAATATAAAAAAATAATAACTTATTGACACGTACAAGCAAAAATACTTTCAATATTTCCAATTCGCGCGTAAAAACGAATATACACAGAAACGGACGCACAAAGAACACACCTGCTTACATAAAAGTCGTACATGCGGGGTTAGTAGATTTTGTTTCTTTCAATGCCGCCATATTAGACATCAAAAATTCCTTTCTACCAATCTACATCAGTACAAAGTTAGGTAAATTTTTATACTCTGCCAATAATGTAAACATCGCCCGTGGCAAAAAATACGGATCCAAAACTCTATGGCTAATTAGTTTATAGATATACCGGGCTTTATATACATCGCCAAGATATTTTACAGCGTTAGATATTACAATATTTGAAAACGAAGTTGTAGCTTTTCAGCTATGATGAAAGTAATCGCTTCACGTCCAATATGGCGAAGTATACCATAAAATACGTGACTTTTTGATGTTAGTGCAAGACCTCTATGCACAAAGAAGGGGAGAAAAAGCTAGATCTGTACTTAAAACGGTTTACATTTCAGAATAATAAACACAATAAAAATGGCACGGGACACAAGGAACTGTTAAAGCGTGAAACCGTCTCTAAAATTACTATTTCTACCAGATTATATCACGGTAAATAATATAAAATAAACTCTTACCGTTCAGAGAACCACTTCACAGCTTATTGTACGGGTATTACTCCTCTGTAACCGAGGCTGGTTTGTACTCACTCCTTTATACGAAACACTATGACGCAACCAGCTGTACTTTTAGCAGTTCGAAACATAAATAAATTCCTTCCCGAAGTGATTTAATCATCAGGCGGAAATTCCCGCCTATAAACTTGAATATAACATAAATATAATGACAAATCATGGAAAAAATTAACTATGACTAACATATTGTGTAAGTAGTTTTTCATGATGAAAATAAAAACTGTTATCAAAATAAAATATTTGTGTGCTATCGTAGTCAATCATCATGAAATATCCCTTATCGTAATATTATGCAAAACTGTTGACATCTGGAGTAGGTTTTGTTTTAATGTCAAGTCCACTTGGTGTCGAGCCATAACACAGTCGTAGCAGAGATTGCAAAAACTTGTTCAGTTATAAACTGGTGACAAGGGCAACAAGTCTGCGCGTTAGGGGCCATTGCTTAAGTTCAGTATACCTACAGAATCATTCGTGTAAGCATAGTTATCTGCGAATATCCATTGGATAAGCTACTGGAACAAAAACGCTATTATATGCATAATGGCTTAAGGTTTTTAATTAACCACATTTAGATTACAGATATATATTTAGCTAATAGTTGAATATTTTTAATTAGCTTGTATGGAGTGTAATAGGCACCTCCATTCAGATGACAGAAATCCCCAGCCTATCAAGGTGGCACTATGCAATTTTCAATTATTTTTAACAGTGATAGTATAATAGTTTGTGTCCACCCCTTCTCTCTCTTTGTTTATATATATATATATATATGTATGTGTATGTGTGTGTGTGTACATATAAGTAATAATATTTTGATTTTTCGCTGTTTTTCAGACATTAATTCTTAACTACGCTCTTAGATATTCATGGAAATAATTTGTTTAAAGACATTTTTCTAATGAACAATATTCCTTTCTCAAAAATCTCAATTGTTGTAGTAGATTCAGAAAGTTTCTATTGGCAGAGGTATGATACTGTTACGTCTCCGTTCGTTCGTTAATTTTTCCGTAAATTCGTTCCAACGAAACTTTAGCAACACAAATCCTTTCTTAAATAAAACTGATTTATTCTTTCCGAATACAACTTTACCGATACACTTAATTTCAACAGTCGCTCTATAACAAACGCTAGAACGTCTCACGTGCTCGACAATACTTAGTTCAATTACACACTCTCTAACTGCAGTTCAATTACTAACTACACTGTTTTCCCGTCACGTTGTGACCGTCTTATATATATATACAAGACTAACACAT